ATTCGTGTTTCTTTCTTGTAATTTTTGAAAAAACAGAAGAATAGAGCAATATGGCAATATTTATGTTATATAACTGAGTACCTTTAGCACTATCCTTACCAAAAGTTTAAAGAAGAAATATGGAGCAGTTTTTGAGAAAATCTTGTTTTTGTAATTTTTTAAAATTTTATATAATCCACGCAATATTGCGCGAAAACTACTAAAATTTTTAAAAAAAAAAGTACATGACCTTAACGAAAGAACTCACAATGGAAAACAAATTGTATTTGAAGGAAATATCTATCTTTAATTTTGCAGTTGTGAGAAGACAACAAAAAAAATCATACTTTTGAAATTTTCGAAAATTCAGAGTTAACAGTGAAAATTGAACCTATGCCACCTATAAGTATATGTTGCTCTATTCTTACAAAAATTTAAAGAGAAAATTTGAAACCGTTTTTCAGAAAATCCTGAAAATGTTCGGAGGGCTTCATGTTAAGTACCCCAAAATTTCGAAGAATGTTTTTCAAAATCCTAAAGTTTCGACTCGAGCCAGATGGACAGGGGTTTCTTCAATTTTGAAAAAATCCTACGCATGGTTTAGGCGCTAGACGACCGACGGACGGACGGACAGACAGACAGACGAACGTTTTTCTGTCAATTAATTTTTCGGTATCAAAGACCCACAAAACACGGATTCTGGCTACAACACGTGTTAAAGATTTTGTCTTAATTTTGCAAATAGATTTATCCACTTTTTCGTTATCAGGGACCGGCTACAAATGTTTTTCTGTCGAAAATCCGCTGTTTTTTTGCGCAGCATTACATAACTTTTCCTACACTACATATATTACACCGTATATACACACACCTACGTATACGGGAAAGTAAAGCTACCTAATTAAGACTATACAGACTATTCTTGAAGGCGAGCAGAGTTTTCTTTTGAATGAAGTCAGCTAAAAGTGCATTTCATACATTTGCAAAGAATTAACCCGTTTACAAAGAAGCAAGAATCCTTATTTTCTTCAATCAACTTCGTGTGACATCTTAAGTCTTGTTTTCCCGGCTTTAGTAAAACAAGAGATAAATTCAGAAATTTTATAATATCCATTCAAATTTTAAAAGTGCCTCTCTTTCTCTCAAAGTAAAAATCACCTTTGCCTTTTCTCTATTTTAATGTCTTAAGTGACATTTCTCGACATCTTCCTTCGTAATCTAATTGATGTAGTTCTCTTGGGATTGTTTGGCACTTTTTCAATGCTTTTTATTTTTGATATAAGAGAGACCAAACCACATTAGTATACTGAGGTACGGGCCTTACGGATGGTTTATTGATCAGTTTTACTGCAGAGGGGTGAAATGTATAGATTGCTTTCCTGATCAAGTATTTTAGTTTATTGGTTCGTTTGGTAATGGCAACAACTTGGTTATTCCATTTCAAATTTCGAGTGATAAGAACGCGGAGATAATTTTGTTCTGTCGTAGAATCAAGGATGTGATTTGCAACAATATAGTTGAGATTTGGGTTATTCTTTCTAAGGTGAAGGACTGGACACTTGTTGAAATTTAAGGGAGCAACCAAGATTCCAACCATCTTACCACTTACAGAGGGGTTTCTGCAATTTGGAAAAACTCCTACGCTTTTTTTGGGCGCTAGTGATGTTCACAGACGGAAGTTTTGAAAAGGACCACATGTTGGGTATCAGGGGACCCCAAAACTTGTATTTCCGTTGAAATCTTGCATTCATGACATATTTAAAGTCCTAATTAAGGGTGGTCTTATAGCTTTCACTGATGATACAAGTAATTGCAATGACAGGGGAGTCTTGGGAGGAAGTGAGATTGAGGTCAGAGTACAATTTGCGCCAAACAGTAACGTGGTTAAATAAAATGCGTTAAATAAAAAGTTTAAATGAAAGAAAAAAAAACCTTTTACACTGACAGTGTTCTTAAATCACTTGAAATTACACAAGGTAAACTGTGATATTTAAAATTGTAACTATGATGAATACTAAGGTTAGAGAAACAAACATGTCAATCAAAATTTGAAATATCAACTTTTCCAAGTGGCTAAGAAAACTAGATATTCAATTTTTATTGTTTGCAAAATGTCTGAATTATTGGAAACTCAACTACTAATAATACTTCACTAATAATTGCTGTTTTCTGGTAAGTAGCTACACACTGTATCATAGTGTGGGGAGGTGCCTATGACAAAAACTTAATTCCAATGATGAATGTTCATAAGGCAATTGTAAAAATTATATTTAAGAAAAATACTATGCACCCCTCCGAGAATTTATTTAGGGGAAAAAATTTGTCAGACCTAAAATGATTTTATATCAAAAAATCAATTTGCTATAATTATGAATGGATGAAAAATAAAGTTCTTGAACTTTCTTCAACTAGGAGAAAGACAAACATTACACCAATAAGAGCTACACAACAAAAAGTGTAATAGACGTCATAATATAGTCTGTGTGAAAGCCTACAACGATTTGAGTTATACTTTACAACTAAATAATGTACAGAAAATCATTGGGGTCATATCAATCATGGGAAGTCATTGAGGAGACACCTCATAGTTTTATGAAGAGAGGAAATACACTCTTATTGTTCAGTTTTTTTGGTAAATTTCCTTTTTTTCTCTTCTTCTTTCATTTCCTGGTAATTTTTAATTTTCTATTTTTCAATCATGTATTTGTGAAATTATATGCGAGGAAAACCATGTTAGTCCATCGGAAAGATATTATATAATTTAGTTATCATAGTCCAAGTCTACGTACAGGCAATAACTGCCTTCAGCAGAGTATCTATGGATACTTTACTATTTCATGTAGACAATATGTGTGTATGTGTGTATGCTAACTTGGAAAAGATTTACTCAAATATACTTGTGTGTGAGTGCATGCATGCATGTGTATACATGTGTATGTATACGTATATATACTTATGAAGTTATTTACAATTGCAACTCAAATTATAAAATTGTTACTCTATCAAACTGAATTAGTATAACTTCTTTCAACATTGTATAATATGTGTACAATAGCATGTTGCTGCCACCATTAATAAAAGAAATATGGGAATATAATATTAAAAATTGCATTATACACAGTTTCACTGTAGTGTGGCAAATAATTCAAACAGAAAGAAGAATTGCATTACCTCTGTGTACTATTCAAGTACTGCAGGAGATTTAATGATGTTGCGTTAAGCATAATAAAATTGAAAGATATAAAATGAGATAGTTAAGAGGACTTGAGTAATTCAAAGTAATCTTCTACTGTCGAAATTCTCAATACTACACATTATTTTTAATATGAATAATGCAACCAAAATTTGTAGATTGGTCAAAGTATATTACTAGTGAAGTCATATGCTTATGGGCCAGAGTCATGAAAATGATCTTGGCTGTCCGGGTGATAGGCAACAGAGCCTTCGACACGGCGTCACTCGGACAGCCAACATCATTTACATGTACGTTATAGGTCCACAAGAAGTCATACCTATTTTAAGACTTCAGGCTATTCTTGGAAATCGCTTAAGTGTCATGTAATTAAACATAGATACAAAAACTCTCTTCAGAGAACATAAGGAAAATTTAGTTTGTATCAAACAGAAACACACCAACATCTGATTTCAGATTTGATGAAGTATCGAAAAGAAGCGAGGGCAATATTATTCTGCTATTTTGGATATGAATAATCTATTTAGTAAGTAAAAATCTATACATCATTTTCTTATTTGCATGCAATTGATTTTTAGACCCAAACAACAAGAATGAGAGAGCCAGCATCTCCTTGTGCCCATATTAATTACAATTAAACCACCCAACAGCTAACTCGCCCCACACGAGTTCGTATTGCAAGTTTGTAAGCGAATTTTGTATCACTGCTTAAGACAACCTACAATGTCATATTGCTACCAAATACGACATGTTCAGGAGAACTACACAGTTCAGCAAAAAAGACACACGAGAAGATTTTGATGTAATGGATGATATGGCTTTGAAAGAACAAAATGTAAGAGGTTATGAATTGAGACATTTAATGACGAGATGCGAGTCCTTGGGTTTACCATAAATGTGTGTAACAAGAAGATATCCAGAATCAACAGTTCAAATTGTTTATGTGAATGGTGTTGGAAATCATCCACATTTCACACCACTCAGAATATAAGGAACCGAATAGATCCTATAAATACATGGAAATTGTGAAAAACTCCTTTTAATTTATGTAGCAACCTTAATCAATCTATAGAAATTGACACTGATGTTACTCATCGCCTCTTGCTGGACTCAATATTTCTAACTCCAAAAATTAAGAGTATTCTGGATACAAGAATTTTGGTATAATAAAATAAAACCTTCGAGATTAGATCACCTTCTAAATGGACATAAACTCATTATTCAGAATATAATTAGAAAATAAGTTTGAACTTGGTTTATATGCTGGGCTTGGTAGTAAATGCTTTGACAACAATTTAATGAATACATTACATGCCTTTCAAAATTTAAGTCTTGCCAACAGAGAAAACCATTTTATTTGTTTAATTGAGCTAAAATTACTTAATTTGGAAGATAACAGTGTAACTTGAAAAGTTACGGCCTCAAAAATTAAAAGAAGGAAACAAACATTTTCTTTCAAAAGAATGATATTTAATTTCTGTAATAACTACTTGAGTTTTAATATTTTGAATAGATAATAGAAATAGTTGTATGACAGGACACAGTCATAAAATTACAGAATGGTAAGGTTTGTAAGAAATGAAATTGCAGTAAGTTTCAAACAAGAATTCCTCGCCAAATCCAACGATTCGTAAGAGGAAAGGGAACGACAGCAATTAGAATGATGCAATGATGTATGGACGTAAACGGCTTACAAGGGAAAAAAACAACCTTGGAATAGACATGAACTGACAAATAAACGTAGAGACAATTGCACACAACTGTCACAAACTGCGACACAATGCTGTCAGCTCAAAGTTTTACCAAAATCATTTACTTCGCTACTTACACTATCGTCAACAGGTTCACAAAAGCTTGGAGGTTTTTCCCATCTCGACTCGGCCGTCAATACGTTAAAGTAATACACCTCGGGATAATGTTTGGATGGAAGAGAAATCCAAGGTCCATCTTCTGGTTTCATTTTGCTTTTTAAAACTTCCTGGATTTAAACTGTAATTGCACTTCACCAAACAGTAATTCCTTCTCGATCATAAAGAAGTGATCTTCGAGAAGCAACATGCAGATCGAAAACTTCTGTTGATCGATAACGCTTGTGAAGTAGAGAAAATGTTACATATCACCTATTTCACACTATTTTCCACTTTCACACATCTCAGATGTTCACTCTTTAACATGACTCCTACTAAAGTTCTGAAACAGAACGTACAGACCACATGCTACAACTGCTCCAAGTGTCAAGTTACGCAATTTTACAGGACCAACAACATTAGAATTCATTGTTGGTAATTCGAACGTACAATTTTAAATGGTAATTACGCATCTGCATACTACTTCAGTTAAATATAAAAATGAATCACATTTTCAGCGACTTCCTGAAATACATAATAAGTACTATAAACACAAACATCGAGTAACTAGTACGAGTTCTATCAACGTATTGTATTCATATTCTCAGAGAACATTGGGCATCCTGCTATTCACGAAGATATACGGATACATGATAATGGTGAGGTTGCGGTAAATACACTAGGATTTAATTATCCCATGCACATGACGTAAATCAAGTGTTCACGGTTTCATCCAATCGGAAGCTAGAACGTCCCGAGAGTGACATATAAGCTCCCGATTGGATGAAAACGTAACCGCTTATTTACGTTAAGTGCACAACTACATAAATCGTACTATACTCTTTGATTATAATATTCTGAGCAATTCTGAGATTGGTATCAGAAAATTGGCTATCACCAATCTTGGCGATTGCCAAGTGAAGGCAGGCAGAGGAATATCGAAATCAGCTTTTAGGATTTGCGCTTTGCTACCGAGAATTGTACGTACATTAATGATTGTTGGTATGAACTGGTGTATATGTTGTTACCTTACAAGCTCTGAATGACATTAATATAAGCACATTTTTCATTTGTATTAGCTTCAATCCTAAAAAGACGTATTATTGAAGTAATTTTGGTTAAGAACAATTAATGTTTATATTTAAGGTGTATGGCATCACTTACGAAAATTTGGAGATTCTGGAAGCAATACCGAGTTGTGATTATCTTCCCTACTCTTGCAGGTTCAGCAATTTTTGCTGACATTATTCACACCAGGAGGTGGAAAGCTCGAAAGGCATTAGTTGCAAAGGAGTTATTGCTGTAAGGTAAGTGTTTAGTAAAATTGTTTTTCATTTAATGTTCTAATAGATTTATTCGAACTGCAATTCGGTATGAACCAGTAGATATTTATTTTAAAAAACGTACTGTAAGTGTGGCCTGGATCTGAGAATCGAAATTTGTTTTCAAGTGTTTTCTCGAATCGTAAACAGAATTTTGAAGACAAATAATCACTTTGATGAATCTTCAATCTAGTTTTTTTTATCAGCAAATCTGAAATATTTTTACAGCTTGAAAATAACTGAAGAATTTCTTGAAATTAATCAGTATATACATATTAAATTTTAATTTATTACTATAACTAAGACATCAGAATATCGTTAGATGAAAATAAGAATCTTCAGGTGATTAAAATACTGTATAGCTAATGGAAGTAGAGAGGTCCAATGATGTCTAGATGGGGATAGGATAGGCTGTCCAACCACCATGACACCATCTCAAAATTTTAATTTAATTCAAATTATTATTCAATTCAAGATGCAACTGCTTGAATTTAAATAAATTTTCATCATTAATTATATTACTATTCAATTTTGGCAATCACTGATATTTCTTGAAACTACTTAATATTATAAATACAAAATAATACAGACATCGTAAACTTCTTTCTCTTTTAAGTAAAAACATTCCCAGTCTATTATATAATACAAATTATGTTGAATGAGGGGGGTTGAGGCTGGACACCATCTCTAGCTATGCCACTGGAGAGGTCAGGGTACTTCAAAATAATTATTTGTGTCTATTTTTAAGTTTTATTATTGTATTTTTTTTATTAACTATTATATTTTCCTTTACTTTCAGATGGCAATTTTTGGAATCACGGCACGAATGGCCATTATGAGCCTTCTTCCACTTACTGGTTTTGGTATTGGATGCTATCTTGACCATAAAGAAACTGAGCGAATGACTATGTTCCGTGATAAAAGTGCATTGTATGGGAGGGTTTTGAAGCCTGGTGAAGCACCGTCATGGCCCTGATGTATGGAAAGTCTCTAGTTTTATTTTTAAAGTTGTGTAATATTTATCAATAAAGGTTAAGTAAAATGATCAGCTGAATATTTTCCAATGTTGTCTTCCCCACATTTCTTGTCCAAAATGTTTACTGATAATTCTAGTAAAGTAGATTTAAAATAATTGAATTGGTGAAATGTTTTCTTCAAACAAATTTACATCAGTAAACGTATGATACATGATATGTATATTCATTCATTATTATTTATTTACCATAATTGTTTAATAAGCAGCCTTGCTCTCACTAACTCATTTGTTTCTATCCAATTTTGTGTAGATACACTTTGCAGGTTGAATTGTTTCCCCATTGTTAACACAAATTTTGGGATTTGATTAGGAAGGTTTGGGAGCAAACACTTCCGTGGTTTAAAACTTTTTAAACATGCACACATCAATCCATTTTTATTTATCAAGATATTAAGTATAAAAGTAGATTACTTTTCACAGTTATTATTAACTTCATGATCATAGAAACTAATTTTATACCATTTTTCATGGTAAACACAATAGGTCGAAATTTCCTTTGATTATTACACCATTGTGATCAATCTAGATAACTGCAGCAGTTGTAATAGGTCATTAGACAAGGGACTAATGGAAAACCGAATATCATGATTTTACATTTGTGGAGGCAACCGTCAAGACGGCTAAAAAGAGAACTTTTTTCATTCCTCTTGAAAACGTCAGCAGACTTGATATACAACCTATTGCGGTTACCACAACAATATGATCTGAAAGGCTTGGAAAGGAATAAGTCATGAAATTGGCATATTAATAATAGTGAAATAAAAGAATGAGAGTTTGCCCAAAATGTTAATCCAATGAAAACAAGTGTCCTCTGAATTTTCTTTAATACTGTCTAGAAAAATAATGAATGAAATGTAAGGTTCTGCTAGAGATTAAACATGTATGTTTCATTGTCAAGTAGATCTATTCTAGAAAAGTAATTCATGAAGTAACAATTGAAAACTGAAACATTGGATAAGGCCCTTAGTAGGCAGATAGTAATTAATGCTACAAAATTCTTAAAATGTGTTATTGAAAGAACAAAGCAAGCTAAAATATTTTAAAGAAAAATCTTTCTTAAGACTTTTGGGACTGTCAGTAATATAAAAGGATTGTTTGAAATAGTGTACAATGGAATAAGAAGAACTCATCCAACAGAAATATTTTACCACATATTAAATCACTATTCCTTTATTACGTACAAAATAAATTTTTATCAAACCTATTTTACATCCACAACAGTAGCAATTAGTTCAATTTTCTGTTGTTTGATAAATAGGAATGTTTTGAATCATAATGCATCAATAAGTGAAAACAGTGAGTAGATAGTTTTAACTTCATCTTTTATATATACAATATAATATTTCCCTTTTTATGATAAGTTTACATCAAAATAGCACTAGGAAAAACACAAAATTATAATTTTCAATAGCATTCAAACATTGCAAGGAACAATTACATAATTTTAACAGATTTATTAATGTAAAAGCGTTTATACCTTAAACTTGGTTAATAATTAAGACTTAATTCTCATGCTATGCTAGAAGGCTAATGAAAAAATAAATGAATAAATTTTGCTAACATTTGCTAGAATTCAAGGTTTAAAAGTTGAATAGCAAATAAAGAAGAATGTGTTTTAACAAGATATAACCATAACCATATGGTACTTGTGAAATATGCAGGTTGTAAGACAGAAAGAGTGAATAACGGAGGGAATGTAAACAACTTAAAAATTAGACAAGTTATTGTTTTTTGTGGAGCCAAATTTTATTTAAAAATGACTCAGAAAATTGTTGTATATTTGAAATAATGAGAAAATTATTCTAAAAAGAGCTTGTGAGTGCAATATAAATACAAAAATTAAACATTAAGGGAGAGTAAAATATATGAAAATTCTTCAGCGTATTCTAGCACTATAAGAAATAATATGTAAATCTGGAAGATGAAGTTCTTTAAGGAACGATGTAAAGAAAGATTGAATGGACCCTTAAATGTACTAAAGAATTTAGAAGTAGACAGTACTAAAGAATTTAGGAAATCATTAAAATACCATGTAATGAGAATGAAGGATAAATGTATTCCAAAGAAAAAAGTTCTATTTTACTCACCCAGAGGAAAAAGAAATGTAGGACTACCCAAAAGAATGTTAGGTTGATAAATTAGGTGCAATAGACCAACCAGTCTAATGTTTGAAGAAGACATTTACAAAATCCTATAAATTATACAAATTCAGTTTAAAAAAATTCCCAACCAAATTTACAACATGCTTATACTTACAAAATTGCTTTGAAACACATTTTCGTTATCTAGAAAAGAAACATATATTTTAAATAAAAAAATGCGTTATATGTCTAATAATAGCGATAATGAACATTACTTTAGAATGCAATTTCAAAATTCGCGCTACATACCTCTTTACCTATCTTACTCCGTTTCATTTGTGTGTACGATCTTCATAAAAATTATAATCAGTTTCGTGGTAAATTCTTGATTGCCATGCACTTGTAATCAGACAACTATTATAACACATGCATGTATGTTTTGACTTCATCCGCAATGTGTTGCATCCTTCCCCCACCTCTCCGGAAATTTTCGTCCCCGTCCGTCTTCGGCGAAGGTGCTGAAGAACGTTTCGGTTAAAACTTCACTAAAAGAAAGAATTATGTCGGCTTGGAGAGCAGCAGGACTGAAGTGAGTAAAAAGAAGTGTTGTTTGAGAAGTATTCTGCGTTTACCATATTTGTATTTTGCTTTCACGCTTATTGCAAGTAACCTACAAGTCTACAAGGAATCGGATATCTGAAATCATTCGCATGCACTTGCCTAATTTTCCCCTTTAAACGACAGGTATAATATAATTTGGTATAATATAATAGAATTTGTTCATGTTTGACTTTGCCCCATTTAGCTATGTCCAATATTCCAACATAGCTGCAAAATTATTGCGCCGAGCTCTGAAACCGGATCTTCGGGCTGAGGCAGCAAAACGAAATGAGACCAGTATTCGATTCACTCCATGGAAGGACGGCAAGCCGCAGAGTAAGTGACTTTTTCGCAAATTTCATGAGAATTATTTCAAAATGATTGTATAATTATGTGTTAAGTTATTAATAATAAATTATTTTCAGGTGCTAAGTTGTAAACTTGTATTATCCAATAGTGTAAGTCATTGCAAATTAGTAATGAATGAATTGTGTAATTTTGTCGTTGAATTTATTGTTATGAACTTACATTCGTGATTAATATTTTGCAACATAGAATTGTGTTCTTACTCTAACATAAATTGATCGAAATCTAACTACTATCATGTTGCCCTGTTTTGAAATATTTAACCTTCATTCACAAACTAAAACTACTTTTTAGTTTAAAATTTTTTGAAAATTAATGAAAAATGTTTGGTGCAGTGCTGCTGCTTATTAAAAATTTCCTGCATGTGTTTGTATATTGACTTCATGCTCAACAAAAAAAACAACTTTTATCTCCTTAGATTAACCTCTAATGACATTCACATAAGGGAAAGGGAACGGGAACAGGTTTTATAGTTCAATTGATATTATAAAATTTATTAACTTTGTTTTCAAAATGAAGCAGGAATACATTGCATTTCAGTTCTTTACATGAAAAGATTTTATTAAAAATCAGGATTAGATAAAATCGAAAAATTTTCTTTGATCAATGTTCTGTTGCCACATTAGAACTAAAATGTGGGTGCAAGTCTAATGTGAGATAGGTTTTTCATTGTGTGCATGGATGTGCGTGTGTGGACATGTCAGGAAAAGAAAATTAAAACAATATGAACAGAGAATTCTACTTATAATGCATTTTAATTTGAGTTTTACAGAAAATGTTTTACGCATTCTTGCTCTTAAACAGATTTTAGTATTTTGAGTGTTGTGTTGATATAAAGGTTTAATATTAATTTTTCTTGATCTTGTTCACAGAGCATCTGCAAACACCTGCTGCTGAATAAATGTGATTTATGAAATTGTTATAACATGTAGAACATAAAATGCTATTGTATATATAATGTAATAAATCTTCAAAAGTACAGTTTAAAATTTTATTTCTAAACCAATTTAAGGATTATATTCCTATTTACAAAAACTGGCTTGGAGAAGTACAAATTGTCATTTGTTAAATGTAAAACAGTGAAGTAATGGGATATTCCAGTCAATATTTTTATCTCTAATGTTGGAGAAAATCATCACAGTCCACTGTGGGTTTTTTTTTATAATGGCAAAACCTACAGCACTCCAAATAAACCAGTTTGCTCAGGGCTTTTAAGAGGAACTACTGATCTGGTTAGTGTAACTTTGTTGTGCTCAAAGTGTTGCAGGGAAGCATTGGCTGTTCCAAAATTGAGATGTCAATAGTTTATACTATTTGTTGTGTACTACTCAATTTTGTTTTAGCGTTATAGGAGTTTTAAATTCAGTTATAAGTAATTTATGCATAAAAATATTTAGAAATTTAAATATTGACAGCCACAGAAAAACAAATGTTCGCAAGTGTTGGTTGGAGACTAGCATTAAGGAGTGGGGAGGACCTAGTTATACCTGCTGGGTCATTGATTACAAGTGGAATATGGCAGAATTTTGTTAAATTCACAATGATTTATGTTTAAATTATTAAAGATCTTACAGTGATTTGTCCTTTAAATCTTGTGTAATTCAAGAGTAATTTGCCAGCACCAAGAGATTTATTAATTCTTTATATAATGTAATTATTTAGTTACTTTATTGGGAATATGGAAAAGTAGGTGTATAGGGTAAGTTCAGTAGATAGTTTATGACAGGTGTCTTCAAAGCTATAACCAGAATATAAAATCCAAGTGCTTATGAAGTACTCCATGCTAAAATAAGTGAGCGAGTTGTAATTAAGAGGAATCACTGTCATTGCACTTGGATGGTAAAATATTTCTCCTAATTTAGTTCTTTCATAAAGGTCATGTACATTTTTTTGAAACATTTTAGTTGGCATGCAATATTAAAAATAATAAAAACATTCTGCTAAATTGCTCCATATTTTTTTAAAACCTTTTGGTAGAGATAGTGCAACATGAGGACAATAGAACCATTCTGATGCAAATGACATTTGTCCTTTTTTCAGCTTTTTGCTAGGATACATGGGAGAAACTATAAATTTTCAGGCTACAGTGATCCAAGCGCAAAAGCCATCATCTGTAGGAACTTCTCAATCTCCCACTTCCCTTCTAGCAAATACTTTCTCTAAATGATAAGAATGCCACTTGGAATAGTATGGTTCTCTTCGCCAAATGTACTCTGTAAGATGGCATTAACACCATATTGCTCTATTTTCTTTTTTCAAAAATTACAAAAAGGTATTTTTTTGGCTAGCCTCTCACGTCATTAATAGTTTCATTAGCAGCGATGTGTTCACATTATTGTATTTACGAGTACATGTGCTTTAAATAATATCATAAAGTTTCTTGAAAACTCAACAGTTTTCTGTGAAAATGAGCGCTTAAATTCCGCATCCTTATTTTTAGAAATGCTCAAACTTTCTTAAAAACTAGTGCTAATTGCACTGTTTAATATGACAAAGTTTTTATTTATGCCAAAAACAGTTAAAAACTGCGTATGACGCGCTACGAGGAGAAGTTAATTTGAAGTTACATTTACGTCCAGTAGCAAAACAAGGGACCATCTCAGCATTTGCTCGAGAATCAGGGAAACTGGACGAAAACCTGATCGAGATGGGGGTCATTGACCCTGAAGCTGACGTACAATACTTGTTACAGCTTCTTTACAATTATACAATCGAAATTATATATAATACATTAAATGTCATTTTAAAAATTAATATTACTTTCCTTTTGGATGCTCAGTATAGTCTCTAATTGTATAGAAACAGTTATGCAGCAGAAAAGATTTTATTTGGGACTTAAAGTATTGTATCGAATTTAATCGTTTAAATGTCATCTGGCAAGGTGTAAAATAATGTACATGTATTATATGTGATTATTTTTGTAGTGAGCTGTCGATACTGTTACCTGATGAATGTGATTACTACGTCGAGTGTTGTTATAGATAGCGGCGTTTACTGAAAATATATATTCCCGCCCTTAAGTAAGTGACAAAAACCACTGATTCATATATTAAGAGACAATGTAACGTAATGTTAAAATACCTGGATTAATAAAGGGAAGCTTACAAGAATCACGTGGGTGGGATTTCCTTATTATTCGTACAAATCGTTTTTGTAATCTAAAAGTCTGGGAGCTATAAGATGTATTTCCCCAGAATATGATGCCATATCTCAGTCGGGAATGAACATTCGCGAAATATACACAACGAGCAGCGTGGAGGCTGACTGAATTTGAAAGAATTCTGAAAGCATAGCATAAAGAACTTAATTTAGTGTTCAATTCATTTAAATGGACGTTCCATTTAAGGTTTGCCTGAATTGAAAGACCTAAAAATGTTGCTACCTTTACATCAGTCAATCCGTTTATTTTCAGTAAAGTGTCGAGCTGTTTATTTGAAATGGAGAACTGCATTGAAACAGTTTTCTTTTCATTTACTATTAATATGTTATTGCGAAACCAATTTGAAATGTATGATATTCTACTATTCACGGTTTCTTTATTGCAAAGAATATTCGTATTGTCCGCAAAGAGAACTGTTCTTCCGTTACTAATCGTCGAGGGCATATCATTTACGTATAGTGGGTAAAGAATAGGACCTAAAATCGAACCATGTGGAACTCCAGAATCATAAAGGTGTGTACATAATGTTCCATTATTCCAGTAAGGTATTTCTACTCTCTAAGATAGAACGAGATACGAGTTTAAGATACGAACATAACCAATCAAGAGGAAGACCACGAATTCCACACAAAGTTAAATAAGTTCATTTTGAGGTGGTATTTTTTCAAAAATTACACAAATGTAACTTTTTTAAATATATCTCACATTAATATGAACATTTCCAACGATTTGCCGAAATGCTATTGCCGAAGGGTCATATCAACGGCTAGGTAATGTGCCAACACGTACCTTAGCCGCAGTCAATTAATAATGGACTTTAAAATTACGATGGGAGTTAGCTGATAATGGGTTCATCGAAAATTGAAAAGAAAAAAGTTATTAAATTCGTGTAGTATGTCATATGATCCTCTTTTCGGTTTTTGTCAATAAACATGCATAACTAATTAGGTGAGGCGATTTTATCAACATGTGTGTAATTAATACTCTTGAATTTGTATCATATCCCCACACCCAAGGACACCAATTCTTCCTGAGATTTCTAGAACCGGCCTAATTTTGGGCAAGGCCAGCAGCATAAAACGCCAAACGCCCGCCGTTTATATATACTTGGCTTCAGTCCCATTTTATAAACGATAAAATCTCACACATTAATACAGCAACGGGCCATCACACAGTATCCGTAGTTTCACAGAAGTGCATTTTCTGTGTTCATCTACATATTATAGTCAATAAATTCCTTTCGCACCGATTCCATAGAACAATAATACCAAGAATTGATTTGGAACGAGTAGAACTCCATTTGAAAGAAATTATTCTTTAATTTTTTACGGCTGTACAGTCATGTGACCTTTCTATTTTTGACAGCTATTATTACCAAAGCACAGGCGGCGTGGTGGGTGGATACACAAGAATTATTTGCTTTTATTTCACGAATGTTGGCTAACTTGTCTTCGAACCATGGAACCACGTTAGTATTGTTATTCTGACTGAGGAAAAAGCTCATTGAAAAATATTTTGATAGAATGGTGAGGAAATATTCTGAAAATGCGTTCAAAGTTAATATTTTCTGTGTGCTGTATTTAGTTAACATTTGGAGACTACACTATAGAAATGAAGTTTAACTAAAAGGAATTGTATTTGGCGTGTCATTTGTCTGCTTCTAGTTCGTGACATTCTTATATTCGAAAGGCAAACAAAAAAATCTAAATTCTTTACGATTGAACGACATGAAATGAAATAAGTAAATAAATAAGACATTATTTGCATGAACTGATATGTTTAAATTAGTGAAATTGAGAATTATATTTTTTTCTTTCTTTTGTCTCCTCCACAGTAACCCTGTGGAGAAGGGGAATTCATTTACTTTTAATTTGTACATTAAGCTGCTGCCTTGCTGCTCTAACAGCTAATTTTAATATTCTAGTCCTAAATTTAAATTATTTGCACTTTGGCATTCCTAAAATGGAGTTTTATTAATTACTAAAAAATGTATAATTTATACATGTATGAGATTTTCTCTCTCTCTACATTCATACTTGTTTCACTATATCATTCCATTCATTCGCACCACAAACTAGAAAACTCTTCGCCACGGTACTGATTTTGCTCAATGTATCCGTGACCCTCGGGCCCTCTTGGGTCTTCCCCCTCGCATTCGGCTGCCTCTGCTCGCTCGCACAAGGCAGCGAGCGGAAGGAGACGCGCGTCGGACCTTCCCGTAGGTGTTCGCCTCCCGACCCAGCGCCTTTGAAGCTCCTCCGGCAAGAATTGTTTCTTACGCCCGGAACCCAGAACACGTAAGTCTTTCTAGGGTATCTATTGGGTGGGTGGAGAATTAGATCAGCATGTGAAATGACTTTTCATGAATACCCCTTGTCTGACTTGTAGCACCTACATTGTGATTTAATGTTTTATTTTGGTATATCATTTTTAACAATCTACCTTTATTTTATTCTCTCTCGGCCATGACAAAATTAAAGAAGAGAGTACTGCTAGAGGAAAACGAATGCAGCGGTAAACGAATCCCACGGGGGGAGAAGGATAGATCACACCAAATATAAACATAATTAGTGGCAGCGTAATCGAATCTCACGGGGGGAGCAGCTAAGTGCACAACCAACTCATAAGAACATAATTGTGGGCAACGGTAATCAACTACTACGAAGAAGAGCATAGTGCAAATTAACTATAGGCATAATTGGTGGTAACGTGAGTGGGCCAGTGCGTGGCGGGAGTGTCGACGAATAGACATAATTATCGCTACAACCGCCGAGAATCAGCGAAGCAGACGCCCAAGCCATTCATACAACCAGAAGGACAGGAAG